CGACTCACTCCAGAGGAGAAGGAGACCTTAAAACTCATCAAGAAAGTCTTTGGTAAAAACTCTGAAAAGTTCACCATCATTCTGTTCAGCAAAGGAGACGAACTGGAAAAATCAAAGATTCCCATTGCAGACTACATTAAGGATGCAAGTGATGAATTATTTCAGAAGCTTTTGGCTGACTGTGGAGGAAGATACCATGTGTTTAACAATGACAAACAGAATAATACTCAGGTCAGAGAGCTGATCCAAAAGATTGACAAAATGGTGAAAGAAAATGGAGGAAGTTTCTTCACCAACGAGATGCTGCAAGAAGCTGAAGCAGCGATCCAGAAAGAGATGAAGAGACTCCTGAAGGAGAAGGAAGAAGAGATGAATAGGCAGATTCAGGATATGGAACAAAAAAATAACAAAGAAAGTAAGGAATTGGAGAGAAAAATGGAAGAACAGAGAGCAGAAATTGAAAAGGAAAGAAAACTGAAAGCTGAACAACTGAAAGAAATGGAAGAAAACATCAACAGGGAGCGTGATCAGAGAAAGAAAGAACAAGAAACCAGAGAACAAGAAGAGAAGAAAAGAAAAGAGGAGGAGGAACAACAGAAACAGAAGTGGGAACAAGAACGAGAAGATTTAGAGAAAAAAATCAGATCAGAGTCAAAAGAAAAGAAGGAAATTGACAGAAAACTAGAACAGAGCAGAAAAGAGATGAAAGCAAAACGAGAAGACTGGGAGAGAGAACGGAAAGAGTTGTGGGAAAAAAAATATAAAGAAGATGAAGAGAGAAGTAGAGAGGAAGAATTGAGACTGAAAAAGCTCGAAGAGAAACTAGAGCAGGAGAAAGAAAAATATGACAAGAAAAACAAAGAAGATCAAATGAGAAGAGAACAGGAGGAGAAAGAAAGAGCAGATCTGGAAGAAAGGTTCAATAAAGAAATTAAAGAAATGGAAGACATGAAGACTAAATATGAATCAGAGGCCAGAATCAAAGCTGAAGAATTCAATGAGTTTAAAGATAAATATCAAAAAGAAGTTGAAGCTCTGATGGAAAAACACAATAAAAAACTGAAGGATCTGACAGACAAACATGAAGAATTAAATACTTTGAAAATGGAACAGGAAGAAGAACTGCAGAAATTGAAAGCAAAATGGGTAGTGCAACACTGTACCACCAGCTGATGATCCTCTGAGTTCATCCTTCATGTTCCAACCTAAACATGATTTAAACCAGCAGAGTTCAGACACCAAATGAAACTCCTGAGATTCCATCAGATGGTCTGAAACACTTTGACATATTTTACATTCCTTATTCTAATTTTTTATCTTTTTGCTGCTTGTTTGAAAAGATGGTTAAAACATAGAAAAGTTTTAGAGGATACAACATGTAATCCAGGAGATAATCATAATAATAATACATGAAACAGTTAATGTGAAAGATTATATTTAACCTTATTTTGCTTGGGAGCAGTGGAGCATCGCTGTAAAACTTTTACATGTTGATTAAAACCATTTTTTGTGACGGAGATTGTAAAAACATGATGCCTAAATTAATACAGTCTAATTAAATACTTCCTACTTTTTTCTCTTTTGGAACTTATTAGAGCTACCCTATAATAAAGGCCTTATCGTGATTTATTGTTTATGTCTGAATTTTCTACATGTTTTCATCAATAACAATTTTGAAAACTTTTTTTCTAAACGCTTATTTGCCATTTTGATTCAAATATCACTGTTAATGCATTGTGATTCAGTGAAAAACTAGATGTAAAACAGTTCATGTATAAGTTTATATTTAACGGTATTTTGCTTGGACCATCGGTGTAAAATTTGAACATGAACATTAAAGCATATTTGTTTATAAAAGATTATAAATAACAAGATGTTTAAGTTTCAATTTGGAGAGAAAATTAAAAATTGTTAACCTTTTCTCTTTTGGACTGATTGGAGCTGCATGATGATAAAGTACTCGTGATTGATTTCTTGTATCTGAATTTTCTACGTTTTCATTCTGATTGTCTCGATTTAAGTGGGTGTTTGTTTGTTTCCTACTTCAACATTTAAAAACAAATAATTATGTGAAACATTAATGTGAAATGAGAATGTACCATATAATCAAAAAGTTTCAATTCTAAAATTATGCAAATATCACTGTGTTTATGGAATTAAATTTCTTTAATTCAAGTCAAAGTTAATTGTTTTTTTTTGTCTAACACTCTTAGACTTGTGTGGGATGGATCAGTGAGGAAGATCATGTGATACGATGTACAGCCCATTTAAAAACATACAAACTCTAATTCTAATCAGAATTTATACAGACAGGGGATTTGATGTGGTTGTAGTGCAGAACAATAAAAAAAACAAGATAAAACATTTTAAAAGTCTATCTATAAATGCAAAGTAAATATAGATATAAGTGTATCAAAATAGACAAAATCAACTCAGAATCAACGTATCATTAGGAAATATGGACTTACATTCTTTTAATGTTGTAAAATTTTACATGTGTTTTTAAAAACTATAAAATTGGCAAAAAAAAAACATAGCATAATGTTCTTAGGAATAAAGGATTTAATTTTTGTTTATTGGCATACAATTTAACATGTGTTTTAAAGAGAGAAACACCCAAAACATGCTTAATAGCGGCCCTAGAACTGGAGTTTGAGGTCTCTGGGCCACTATGTCTCCACTTTGCAAAAGGTCCTCAATCAAGAGTTAATATGAATTACTCACAATGTTATAAAAACAAAAAAACAAAAACGCATGTTGATAAGAAATGGCTTGTAAGAACTAACTTAATTCAGATTTGGAGGCTCTGAAGATTTTAAAATGCCAAAAAGTGTTATTACTATCAGGTGTGAAGGATCACTCAGATTTACAAAAAGAAAAATTGCATGCTTTATGAAGATGGTTCATTTTAATCAAGCTATTTCTATCTTTTGTTTAACCTTTAAAGTAAAACAGTTGGAGATTTAGTGTGAGGGGTTACATGGAGGTGTGGTGGTCTGAAGCACCATATCAGAGAACAAGGGTTCAAGTATTAAATCCCAGCTTTTAATTTAGGTTTTTTTTTTTTGCTTGACTTTACCCAAAGATTGAGCTCATAGTTCACTCTATGTGGTCCTATATAGAACTAGTGATCCTCCCAGGATGCCAATCAGCTGTGATTGGCTCCAGTCTGCTATCAACAAACGCATAAGTCTTGCTTTCCAGGTCTGTTAATGAACAGATTATCTGAGCACTAAGGGTCCAGTTTGCTGTCATATTCATCATGACCTCCATTGTTCTCCTTCAAAATGTGGACCAAGCGTGCAAACAGCTCTGGATGCTCCAGGTCGTTCCCCCACAGGAATCTGTAACCACCCATTTTGACAATGTTCCTTGAAGCTGCACCAAGTTTGCCCTTATTCTTTAACGCTCATACTGCTTGTGGTAGACCTGGGGAGAAACACTTGCCAAACTTGACATGATTTTTAGAAATACATTTGACATATTTTTATATTATGACTTACCCTTGATTGCATAAAAGCCTTCTTTGATATGCATTGTGCTTGAATGGGAAAATGACAAATGCGTCTAATGGGTTTCAGAGAAATGATTGTTCGACTGTGGGCCCAGGCGGGGGCGGTGCTTATAAAGGGAGTGATAAAGTAGAAACCTGGAGTCACCATGAACAGAACCTGCTCGACCCGGTTTGAGAGGAGGAGTAAGTTGCCATGGCAACACATCTTTATCAAAACCTTCCCTCCTTTCATAGAACAGGTTAGTCAGGAAGTTTCTCCTCAGGTGATCAAGTTACTCTTAAAGTAACCCTGAGAGGCCATTAAACCTGCTTCCACATACTGGTGAGTAACTGAACTATTTAAAACAGCTCAAATAAATGATACTCTGTCTGAAGGTGATTCAGTTTAAAGAACTGATCTCTGAATCAACTAATGAAACTTTAGCAGGAGGTTAAATTAAACGCTGTAACATTCATCAGATTTTAAAGCTGGTTTACAGACTTTTTTATCTTGTACTTCTCTGAGCTTTTACTTCCTGTTTAAGCTGCTTAATGCAAACCTAAAAAATAAAAATAAAAACTGTCATCAAGTTAACCTTGACATTGTTTTTAGGCTTAGCCAAGCAGCAAAATTAATTGTAACAGTTTGGGGCTGATTACACAACTAATCAGTACATGTATTCTCTAGCGAGAAAGTCTTTGGGTTCTCACTGCTGCTCGTGTCTTCCTTGATGGGAAATTGCTAGAGTTTGTGAACATTTTAGGCTTTATCAAATATGGATTGTTTCCAAATCTACTTTTTAATTTAAAGTGGACTTTTCATGTATTTTAAGCCTTTGCTTTTTCTGATATTTAACTAAAATAGATCATCTATTTTCATTTTTTTTTAAGTATATGAAAATCATCTAATGTATTTGATTCCAAACTGCAAACGCAGACTCCTGATCCCTGCAGATACTTAATTCATAATAAATTAATTAAATAATATTTCTAATTAGTCAAGATTCTTAAAGGGGACATATAATGCAAAACCAAGTTTTTAATCATTTGATTGTGTGCATTTGGGACTGTGGAGGGCCTATCAGCAGGAAAAGTGTGGAAAAAAATGACTGGGTCATGTTTTTGTGGGCCGCCTCAGTCTGAATCCAGGAGATAAATCAGGAGGTTTCAGGAGTGGGTAGTTTCTGACCTCATTAGCTCTAGCTCATTATAATATTATTATTATTATTATATTAATATTATTATATATTATCTAGCTCATTATAATATTCCAGCCTTTCACCTGCATGTTGCCCCCCCCCCTCAGCTTACTCCCCTATCTGTGGAGACGTCGTGGTAGCGTTAGCATGGTAGCGTTAGCATGGTAGCGTTAGCATGGTAGCGTTAACATGGTAGCATTCGCATGGTAGCGTTAGCGTGCCGACGTGGGCACACCTCCCTGAAGAAGTGGGCGGATTGCCTGTGTCTCATTTGCATTTAAAGAGACAGGCACTCCAAAGCGCTCTGAACGGGGCTGTTTTGGGTTAGGGTTAGGGTTAGGGTTAGGGTTAGGGTTAGGGTTAGGCAGGGGGACTGAACTGCTATTGGGCTTCATCCTTATGGGATTCTGACCAAAGCTTTTTACAGACATTACATTAGGACACCAGGGAACTAGCTTAAGTTGTTGAAATAGGGTATAATATGTCTCATTTAAGCTTTTCCCATATTCAGTGAGTAAGTATTTTTCTAATTCTTTGTTTTCCAGTTAAACAGGGTAGCTTTTCAATCTTGTTAATGATTAATCTGACGTAACACCAGTGGCGGCCAGCCCATAGGGGGCGCTGGGGCGCCGCCCCCCCTAGATGTGGAGGGGGAAAGTTATAATATATATATTTATTTTTAAAGTATTATCAATTTCAGTTTTACTTAATACTATGTGGCTACATGTAATATGAATTATTAAAACAACACTTCCACCAACTGACTCTCATTCAACAGTGCATTTCCACCCACAGAACGTATCGTTTCTCTTCTGGGGCGCTAGCCCCAGCGCCCCAGAAGTGCAGCGAAATAATCAATTGAAAAATGTTGCTAGGGAAAATTAATAAATATTTGGCCAATCAGCATCGCCGAAATTATTGGCTTTGGGGCGCCTGGAGCAGGCGCCCCAAAGCCACAGACGTGTAGCTATTGGTCAGTCAGGCTGTGACGTAGAGATGACGGCGACAGTTGAAGAGCTGCTTTCACATAATTCAGTGAGATCTTTTCTGAGATCTCCTTACGTGAGAAGGACAATGGTGGAAAAATTAAACGTAAAGAAGCTGGGACCTGACAAGTCCGAAATAAATTTAACGCAGCGAACCAATGAAAAAGCTAAGTCCCACAACCGGCCTTTTAACAGGAGCTGGTTCCAGCGTAAGTCCTGGCTGACTGCTGGTGGGACGGCCAACGCAGTTATGTTTTTCCCGCATCCCTTTAAAAGTGACCGGAGTGATTTGACGTGGACACAGTCTGGACAGACAGACTTAAAACACCTCTCTGAACAACTAAGAAACATGAAATATCACGAGGTTATATGGAAAACTGTGTTAAGCTAACCGTGTTAAGCTAACCTCCTGTGTGACTACTTTGTGTGTTTGGTGAAAAATAGTAAAATTGAGTGTTGTATTTCATGCTGTTCCTTTCCAAAATAATACCTAATATAGCTTCAAATGGTTAACTGTATATGTAAACTGCTGATTCTGATAAGGGAATTAAATCATTATTGTGGAATTGTACTAACTTTACGACATGTACTGGGTTAGGCAGGGAAATATATTGGCAGACCAGCCCCACCAAGATTTTTTTTCACCAGCCGCCACTGCGTAACACTTCCATCTTTTGATGCAAAGACCAAACTACAGCCAGAACATTAGAAATAAAAATGTTCTAATGACGGTTTGGGATCCTGAATCAGCACTAAGTTCTTTATCAGTCTGTGTGATAATGTTGCAGTTTAATAAAACCTGCTTATATTTTCTATCTGTGTGTGATGTCTTCTGTCAGATGGTTTAAACCAGCGTTTGTTCTGCTGCTGAGAAGCTCTGAGCTCACAGAGGGACATCATGGCTGCTGCAGGAGGTGAGCTCAGTGGGATTCAGGCCCAGAGGCTTTGAGAAACCTAAAAGAATGAACTATTTATCAGTGCTGAGAATTAAAATAGTTTCAACATTAGGGTAATGGGCTATTTACAGATTCATAATGTTACCGATGTCATAATAGTTTTAAGGCAAGGCAGCTTTATTTGTATAGCACATTTCAGCAACAGGGCAATTCAAAGTGCTTTACATAAAATCAGTATAAATAAATAAATAAATAAATAAATAAATAAATAAATATATATATAAATAAATAAATAAAATAAAACAAAATGGATCCTCTGAATTATTTCCATTTGTCTTTACAGATAAGAAGCCTCTGAAGCGCAGAAACAGCTATGAATTCATACCAGCTAACTCCAAGAATTTCCTCTCAAAGTGCAGCTGCTGGATCTAGTTTTTCTGATCACACTTTATGCGTAAAGATATTTATGTATTTAGCAGCAGCTTTTATCCAAAGCGCCTTAAAACCCACTGACAGATACAAGCTTACCATTGAGGTAAGGTAGGGAGGCATGCAGGGCCTAGCTTTGGGGACTGGATAGATGCCCTAGTCAGGATTCGAACCCCCAACCTACTGTGTTACAACTACATGTCCAGCTGTACAGAACTGTTAAGATAACCGATTATATCGATCTAAAATGGAAAGTTCCTTCATTTCTGGCTGTTATTCCTGTTTTACTCTCAGTGTCTGAGCTGAGGGTTGTTCTGCTGGGAGGCAGCTGGGCTAAGAGGAGAGACGTGGGGGACTCTGACTGTAAATCTGTCCTTTTTCTGTCTTATAGAGTCTCAAACTGTCTGTATTTAATGTCTCCAGGATGGCGGGATTGCAAGAGCTTCAGGTGAGTTAAGAAAATCCCTCACCATTCAGAGAAAGTTGGAATTCATTGATCGTTTTGGAACTTTTTAGTTCTGAATAAGAAATTTGAAAACACATGAGGCTTTAACTTCTTGTGGTTTCCTTTACAAACACCATGCAGAATATTTGATGCACATAAGTGATTTAAACCGAGATGGCTGTTTCTAAAAAAGCTCTTCTGTGTTTTTGTTGCATCTTTCTTAACATTGGATCAGCGGCAGCGCATATGGAGCCTAGACATCATTCCACCTAACAGTGAGTTAAACTGAATCAGTTTCAGACCAGCTAAAATGTGGAATTTACAACATGTTTTCCCTTTAAAGTTTCTCGTGCTGCTGTCCTCAGGTTAGATGTGTTCAGGCTGACCTCTGATCAGATGTTCTGTGTCCTCCTCAGTGTCCGAGCTGAGGCTGGTCCTGCTGGGGAACAGCTGGGCTCAGAGCAGGGATGTGGGGAACTTAATTTTGGGGGAGAAGGTGTTCAGTACTGAGGATCCAGACTGCTGTGTGAGAGTCAGCGGGCGCTGCAAGTGGAAGGAAGTGGCTCTGATCAGCACCCCAGACCTGCTGCACCCCAACCTGCCCGAGGACAAAGTGACAGAACATGTGCAGAACCTGGTGAGGCTGGCAGAACCCGGCCCACACGTCTTCGTGCTGGTTCTGCAGCCTGAAGACTTTACTGAGCAGCAGAAACTGAGGCTGCAGGCTGTGCTGGAGAACTGCGGGGACAACTCCTTCCAGCACGCTCTGCTTCTGCTGGCACCACCTAAAAAGGAAAGTCTGGCTTCCACAGAAAGCTGCATGGAAGCTCCAGCTCTGAAAGACATGATCAGAATGTGCAGATTTAGATATAAAAGTCTGAAGAAACTGGAACTTGTGGAACTTATGACATCCTGTGATCAGATTGTGAAGGAGAACAACGGGGAGCATGTGAGCTGTGACTTTTCTGATTTATTTCACCTGCCCGCTAACTTTGACCCGGCTCAAGTTTCTGGTGAGAAAACACAAAATCAGAACAGTTTTAGGTGATTCTAATGGCGCCTCCTGCTGTTTTACGGGGAGCACATGAGCAGATTGAATAGAGGAGAGAAGGGTGTTGTTGTGGAATATCTTATATATGAGGCTTAGTCCGTCTGAGGAAGTAATGGAAATTTATCTGTGTTTTGCATCAATGTTTATTGGCCCCAGGGTTTAGTCAGCAAGGTCTGATCTTCCTTTAGGATCAGATATCCTGTGAACAGTGAATAGTAAACATTCTAAGGTCAAATTATAGTTGAACAATTTGAGAGGAACAGTCGTCCTGTATTTGTCCAGGACAGTAAAAAGTAAGTGGACAGGAAGTGCTGTGAAAGTACAAGTCATATTGACAGTTGCATTTATGATTATTGGTATTTCAAATACTAATGTAATGAAAAATCATTACATAAGATCACAAAAATCTATAGAATACTAATATCAATACCATCAACCATCATTCAGCTCCTTAGTCCTGTTCTATGTGCAGACGAGGTGATTTTGTATCAAATCTGCCTCCTGCTGCTTCCAGCTGAGGCCTAAAACCTGAACAGTTTCCATTGATGACCTTTAATACTTTGTGTCTCTTGTTTCTCAGCTGAGGGATTCAGGATTGTCCTGTTTGGGAAAAGTGAAGAAGAAAAGGTGACACTTGGAAACTTCATCTTGAACAAAAACTATTTTCATCTTGGACACTTTGGTCCTTCTTATCAGTGTGAGTCTGCTGATGGAGAGTTCAGAGGGAACGCAGTGACAGTGGTGAAAACTCTTGACATGTTCAGTCTGTCTGTGGAAGCTGTGAGAGAGGAGGTGAAACACTGTGTTGGTCTGTGTCCTCCTGGACCAAATGTTCTGCTGCTCTTAGTAAAGCCTTCGGATTTCACAGAGAAGAACAGACTAACTTTGAAATCCATCCTGAGTTTGTTTGGTGGAGATGCCTTCAGACACTCACTGGTCATCACAACACATGACCATAAGTGGACAGAAACCAGTGTCTCAGTGAACAAATTGCTTCAGGAGTGTGACCGAAGACATTACAGCAAGTTTCTGAACAACCACAACCTGCTGATTGAGAAGATTCAGAGCGTTGTGGATGAGACAGGAAAGGCCTTCCTCACCTTCACCGAAGAGAAAATCAAACCAAAGATCCCAGAGCTGCTTCTTAAGTCTTGTCCAGCCACAACATCTGGATTTAAAATGGAGGGGGATAGTTCAGTGGTAGAGCATCTGACAGCAGATCAAGAGAACCTCAGTTCAACTGTCAGTGCCCCCCTACTTTGTAAGTCGCTTTGTATCAAAGTGTCTGCTAAATGCATAAGTATGAAACATTTGTTTAATTCTTTCCACATTATTCTTACTGTACCAGTAAAAGATGTTCAAATGTGGTCAGTGGCTAAAATGTTTTCTGTTGTGTTTCAGTTTCTGCCTTCAGGGTAGTACTTTTGGGAAAAAGTGACAACAGAAAGACTAGACTTGGCAACTTGATTGTTGGACACCAAAGTTTTCGTGAGATACAGTCGTCTGTCTGTGTGGCGTCCTGTGGAGAGTTCAGAGGGAAAGCAGTGACCGT